CCAGTGTAGATATTTTAGTAACCAAGTTATTATAAATTATCACTGAACAGGTGCATGACAGTAAATATTTTCCTTGTGTGGATGGATTTCAGAGCCTTCAAGTTGTGATCAGTTCATGGTTTAATTACTTCCCTCTCCTGTATTATGACCAAAACTAAGATTTCTAACCCTTTTTTCAGATTTCATATGAAGATCTTCCTCATTTGGGCCCTGATCACAAGAAGACCTTCTCATGCCAAGTCATAGTTGGAGAAAGGAGTTTTAAAGAAGGATCCGGTCCAACCAAGATTGTAGCCAAGAAGAATGCAGCTATACATGCTTTGGAAAGCCTGTTTGACATGCCTGTTGAATTAGGTACTTTGCAGTTCTCCAGCATCTTCATTATTTTGTGGTACACAGTGGTATCAAGCTGTCTCGTATCTCCTTGGACTCACAAAAAGAACAACTTTCCAGATTGAAACTTTTTATCCAATGGCCTTGCTTGATTTCACCACTGTGTGAGGCTCAATTCTGAGGGAACTCGTTTGTAGACATGCTAAAGATTTTTCCTCGGGGTTTTGTGAGTGTGTAGGTTGAGGGAGGGTGAGTCAGTGAGAGCAGGGGGATAAGGAGATTTTTTAGACCCTATAACTGGATGAGAACTGCAATTAGGAGCATGCCCAGTTATTTCACAACTTTAGGTTACAATTTTTTCTATTTAATATGAAGATAAGGACACATGCTTTTTGTTTTTTGGGGCATTTTAGTTATGGGTAAATAACTAATTGACAGTAACCAGGGCTAAGCCTTACAGTTGAGGTGAAGTTTAGCAAGATGTTTTTCCATCGTGGTCTCTCTTAGCTTCCAAGCCAGGCCAGGCTAATCAGATGAAAGTTGATAGGCATCCTGTCAGTATTTTGAATGAATATGGACAAAAGAAAGGAGTAAAGGTAACATCAAAATTACTATGACTTTGTGTTTTAATTTTTTTAAGGATTCTGTTAACAATTTCAGCGATAGAGTAATTATGCAACTTAAAGGGGGAAGGAAGTATGGTTAGCATCAGAAGCAGACTTTCCCCTACCTGTCCTCTAGAGACTTGTAGAGTCACAGGTGGCCCAAGCTCTGTCACAGGTTCTTTCACAGTGAGTAATTAAAGAGTTTGTACAGTGGTTTAGTTGGACTTGCTTTTGAGCTGTGTAAAATTAATGTAAAGTTGTGGGAAATAATCAAAGAAATAAAGTTTTACCTTCATAGAGAGTAGTCTGTGTTGTTCTCCTCGCAATTTGAGGCCGTTTTGATGTGTTTTAGCTTTACGCCCTAAATCACGGTGCACAAAATACGGGAAGGTCGGAAACTTCTGTTGACACACGCTCGCCAAAATCAATCGAAAACAACACTTAAATACTTTCCCTTGAGTCAAAACTTGGCAGGACGAAAGCCAAATAGGAACTTCTTGTGCAGCTGAGAGACCATTAATGCACGGTCAACCTGGACCCTAGTCAAATCTCTCTCAATGGGTCCTCCCCATAGTCTTCTAACACCAACTCTTCACACATGCTAAGGTACCCCGGGTAAGAGGATATTTGTAAAAATCCATTGAAAACAGTGAAGATGGACAGTATCGACGATCTAGTCAAGTCGATGAGTTTACTCGGGGTACCTTAGTATGTGTGAAGAGTTGGTGTTAGAAGACTATGGAGAGGACCCGTTGAGAGAGAATTGACCAGGGTCCAGGTTGACCGCGCATTAACAGTCTCTCAGCTGCACAAGAAGTTCCTTCCATGCATTAGAAGAATTCAGAACGGCTGTTAATTTGAAATTCTCGCTGGATTGGTTGCTTGATAAACCATCTTTTGTGGGATTTTTTTCGGTGAACTTAAAGGGCAACTATTTGGCTTTCGTGCTGCCAAGTTTTGACTTGAGGGAAAGTATTTAAGTGTTGTTTTCGATCAATTTTGGCGAGCATATGTCAACAGAAGTTTCCAACCTTCCCGTATTTTGTGTACGGTGATTTGGGGCATCAAGCTAAAACACATCAAAATGGCCTCAAATCGCGAGGAGAACAGCACTGACTACTCTTTGATTATTTCACACAACTTTACATTTACAGAGCTCAAAAGCAAGTCCAACTAAAGCACTATACAAACTCTTTAATTATTCACTGTGAAAGAGCCTGTCACAGAGCTTGGGCCACCTGTGGTAGAGTTTGCTTTGACTTGTTTTAAGTGACCCTTCTACTTGCTAGACATCTCGTTTGAAATTAGGTAAATTAGTTTGGTGTTACATTAAGATGATACCCCTTGTCTGATATGCTCATTTATTCTTGGCATCAGAAAGAACAGTTTTCATTAGTGTTGCAAAAATTAAAACCCAAAGTAATTGCAACTACCAATCAGAACAAATGGTAACATTAGAAATGAGAACTCAACGTAAAAACAAGTAACTTGCTTAAAGGATTGGAAGACACAAGAAACAAAAGTGGGAATTGTTTGAAGTTTGGTATTTGATTGGTTGAGATGGTGGTGCCAGTTTTCTGGACCAATCACAAAACCAGGGAGAGAAAAACTTAAACAATCCATTATCACTTTAATACCTAATATTTAAAAACTGCTCTAATTTATCAATTAAATGTTTGAAGACATGGGTCATTTGGGTGAAAAAAAACATACCGGTAATAAAAAATAATCAATTCTTTACTACAAGGCTTTGAAATTCTTTAAAACACCTGATTTATCAAAAAATTGTTGTTTAGAGAGGTTACACATTACTCACTTCTCAAAGTTGAAGGGCACATGGGTTATGTTTACAGGTTGAGTTTGAAGACATGGGTCATTCAGGCCCTGACCACTTGAGGACGTTCAACTTCAGAGCAGTTGTGGGTGAGGTGACATATGACCCTGGAAATGGTCGCAACAAGAAAGAGGCAAAGAGAGAAGCAGCAGCACTTGCTCTCCAAAGCTTAGGTTTTGAAGTCAATGTTGGTAAGAATCTTTAATGTATTTGCCACTGCCAATGTTTTTATGATGCAAAGGCTGGATATCCAGGGTATTGCAGGATTTCCAAAATATCTGACTATGTCCACAGATTTGCAGAGATTTTTGAAAATCTCTTCAAGACCTCGGAAGGTGTTCTGAAGAGTTTCGAAGTCCTGTAGTAAGGAACTGATTGTTTGATTATGTTTTTGTCACCACACTGGCTCCAGCTTTTGTCACCAGAAAATATTAAGTCTGAAGACAAAAATAATCATTATTCTTTATGATCTTAATTTGGCTTCAGAGAAAAAGTTCTCCACACAGTAGATGTTATTAATTAACATTTCATTTCATAAGATTTATCAAAGAAGACTCCCACTACTGCAGAAGAAACTTCAATCCCTCCTGAAGAGCACAAACTTCCCTTAACTGATGGTAACAGTGCAGTCAGCGCCTTGTATGAGCTCTGTCAGGCCCATCACTTACCTCACCCAGAGGCACAAGAAGTGCGACCAGATGAAAAAAGAGACCCTGCCCTTCATTACTGTGCTTACAAAGTTGGCGAGGAGCTTTACAATGTGGGAGCTGGTCTGACTAAGAAGGCAGCCAAGGAAGCTGCTGCCCAACATGCAGTGGCATCTCTTTTAAAACTGAAGGGGGTCCACCATATCTACAACCCAGGGACCACCAGTGAAGGGGATGAAATTGCAGCGCTGTGTTGGAACCACCTGTCAATTCTAAGTCGTGATGCACCAGAGGGCTGGAGATTTGCTGGGTACAAAGTTGTAGCAGCCTTTGTAATGCAGGATGGTGATGACGCTCCTGGGGTTGTTGTGAGTTTGGGAACAGGAAACAAGTAAGTTAACTGTAACCCTTGAATCCTATTGACAAAGAAAATGTTTGAAGTAGCAACCACTCTCTCTACTTTCTTTTTTACCCTTTAATACCCAAAAGTGATGAACAATTTACCTTTTTCAAACACAATCCCGCAAACAGTTAATGAGAGTACTCAAACTTTTCAAATAAAAAAAGTATTGTAACTAATTTGTGTGGAATATTGTACGTGTAGCAGCTAAAGGGAAGAATTCATTTGGGAGTGAATGGGTCAGCGAGGATAGACTAGATGCCAATCAGTCTCTTGTTTCAAACATTTTATGTACAACAGTAATTGTTTGTCTCTCGTTTTATTCAAAAGATGCATTAGTGGTGACCAACTGCGCATGGATGGAACAACAGTGAATGACTCTCATGCTGAAGTGATTGCACGAAGGAGTCTGCTGAGATTCTTCCATTTCCATTTGAGAGTCTTTTTCAGTGGACAAACAGATGTGAAGAGCATCTTTGTCCAGAAGGAAAGGCAAGGAAAGATTCAGCTGAGGGATGGGATAAAGTTTCTTCTTTATGTGAGCACAGCTCCTTGTGGTGATGCTGCCATCTTTGTGAATGAAACTTGTTGCAGGTAATTGTCAGCTTTAAAATTCAGATTATTTTCATTGAGATCCTCTACATGTAATACTGCCTGTCTATAATTATACTTATGCAAGGGTTACCGTGGGGCAGATGAAATCATTGACTGATGTCAACCGGGAGTAGAAATGAGTTGAGGTAACTGTCATGAAAACAGGGCAAACGTGTGGATGGGGTGAAATGTAGTAGGCCAGTTGTGCACTTAGTTGCCAAGCCTTTGATTTGGAGAGAGTCTGAAGGTGACCCTATTGTGATAAAGACCACTATCTAATTAGCACGATAACGAAGTGCAGCCGTAATTTACATTTAAAAAGCAGCAGCGTATGTATCATAACAAGGTCACCCTAAGCCTCACTCCTATTCAAAGGCTTGGCAACCAAGCATGAAACTGTAAAATGGACTACCACAACAGAAGGAGGAAACTGGTCTAAAAAAGTGGTTGGTAAGGTAACTAGTTTGACCCAGAAGTGTAGGGTCACTTACACTCATCCATTGGTGAGGAAAACGGGATGTATGTACAGGTGAAATTCTTTGTAAGAGATGGACTATTCTGCTATCAGGCAATTACAATGGTGGCTTAGTATTTGAGGACATGGTTTTATCAAGTAAGTTGAAATTGTAAATTGGCCACCGTAAAGAGTTGAAAAGCAGATGTTTCGAGCGTTTAATTCGCTCTGACCAAGGGCTAACGCCCGAAACGTCAGCTTTTAACTCTTTACGGTTGCCAATTTACAATTTCAACTTACTTGATAAAACCAAATTACTTTGTTACCCCCACCGACGCAGCACTACAGTTTCTTTAGAAACTTACCCACTTAATTCATTTGAGGACATGGATGTGTTTGGCCATTGGTGACAGGTTTATAACATTTATTCACCAGCTCTGAAGATGCCACCGAAACTAAAGCATTGTTTGGCTCCAGGCAGCAAGGACTCTTAAGAACAAAGGTGGAGAAAGGAGAGGGAACAATACCACTGGATCCTCAGGATGGTATTCAGACTATTGATGGAATCCACAGTGGTCAGCGGCTGCGTACTGCCTCATGTAGTGACAAAATAGCCAAATGGAACGTCCTAGGTTTGTGGTTGTATAGTGTTTGAATTCGACAATGCCTCCCAAAAAGTACTTAATTCTATACAAATTTTGACGGATCTCTCACAAACTCTCATTGTTTTTCAAGTGATTTGCACGATAATGACGACGATGACAATGACAGTAACGATAAAAGTAAGAATGACAACGATAGTAAAAGTGATAGCGACCGAGATAGTAATTGTGATAATCATTCTATCCTGTTTCATTTGGTATCTCTCCAGCTCCTTTAAAATGCGCTGGTTTGTGGCCATATAGGTTATTTTACTAAATAACGAGCAACAACAGACGTAGCCCTTTACACCCTGCCATAGATGTTTGTATTCTCCGCACTCTTTTCTCAACATTTCCTATGGTGCTGACAAAGAGAATTTGTTAAGCAATCGGGAGCTTCTTAAGTTGCTGATCATTTCCATTATTCTCGTGACCTTTCCACTTGATTCAGGGGTGATATTGTTAGGAGAAATTAGAAGCCAGTCTCTCCTAGGAGAGACCAAAACAAAGCGAATGTTTTTTATTATCATCCAACTATACTCCGTAGAGTACAAATTACGCCATAGACGAGTACAAATATCACGCGGTATTTGTACTCCAGAGAACCTGTTAGACAGGCTTTTTCGCATCGGGCAAGCAAAGAATTGGATTGAAGTTAGGACAAACAAGTGGCGGACAATTGAATCATATTTCTGACGACGAAGAGTCGGAATGGCTGGCAGATATAGATCCAAGTTTATTAGAGGAATCGAACGAAGAAAAACAGCTAGACGACCTGGAAATTTCTGTTGTTATTATGTATATTATGACTTGATCGTTGTTATTTGAATTTAATATATTTCACAGGAATTGTTAATTTAACTTATGATTGGTCCAGGTGTTTCTTTTCCTTTTGTTATTCAAACCTTTTTTTTTTAAAAATTGGCATGTTTATATGTATTTTGTTTTTCTCTCTGTATTGTAACCGTCTTTTTCGTGTGAGCGGAATAAAAGAAGCAAAAGTTTGTTTTCAATGGTGTAAAATATTAATTTCTTCCTTTATTGAAGAAAATAGAAACAGCAACACGACAACGCGCCAATTTATTCCGTTCCGCTTCGCACAATTCTGTCACGAACTCCCCGTAAACAAATATCCGCGAAATTCGCCCGCACTGAAATAACAATTTGGTGTGCTGGATAATAAATAACTTATAAGACGTTTTATTGTGTAGTATCGCTGAGTATTTTTACTCGTTATTTGTATTTTGACTCGCCTTACGGGCTCGTCAAAATACGGCACAACTCGTAAAAATACTCAGCGATGCTACACAATAAAACGTCTAATAAGATATATCTATTGTACCTTTGCCTATAAATTTTTGACAAGCGTATGTGTTGTTGTACTAGGTGTCCAGGGAGCTCTCCTCAGCGTCCTGATTGAGCCTGTCTACGTCACTTCCATTATACTTGGAAAGCTTTTTCACCAAGGCCACCTCAGCCGTGCTGTGAGCATGCGTGTTGAACGCGACAATGATAACAGGTTTTCAAACAAACTTCCTGGTTCTTACCATGTCAATCATCCTAAACTGGAGCAGGGCCACCTTGTCATGCAGGTCTGTGAAAACTATGATAGTGTACCTCAGTTGCAATTGTAGGAGCGACACTCTGTCTGAAGCGCCTTGAACATGATTCATCGATTTGCGTTTGGTTTAAGTTTACGAGCGCCTTTCGTTTGAGAGTCGTCAAACCAAAACCAAAGTAATCACAGTGGCCAATAAGAAGAAAGAAAATACCTTTAAGAGCCAGTGATAACCCAAAATAAAATCAACAAAACTGCCTGAAGCGCAGGAAATTGCGGGGACCAAGTCGTGATTGGTTTTGTATCTGATTGGTTCAGAGAATGGCACAGAGCGAAATAAAACAAAAACAGAGAGATTACTCCATGAAATATATGAAGTTCATATATTTTGTACTGCGGTATTAGATACATATGATGCACGATCCTCGCAGTAGATAGCGCTATTTAAGCAATAGCGAAAATCAGACCTGAAAAAAATCAGGCCTGTACGGGATTCGAACCACTGACCTCTGCGATACTAGTGCAGCGCTCTACCAATTGAGCTAACAAGCCAACTGGGAGCAGGCCGTTAAGTTGATTCGTAATAAACCCGTGAAAGTGATAAATGAGATACAATGAAATATATGAAGTTCATATATTTTGTACTGCGGTATTAGATACATATGATGCACGATCCTCGCAGTAGATAGCGCTATTTAAGCAATAGCGAAAATCAGACCTGAAAAAAATCAGGCCTGTACGGGATTCGAACCACTGACCTCTGCGATACTAGTGCAGCGCTCTACCAATTGAGCTAACAAGCCAACTGGGAGCAGGCCGTTAAGTTGATTCGTAATAAACCCGTGAAAGTGATAAATGAGATACAATGAAATATATGAAGTTCATATATTTTGTACTGCGGTATTAGATACATATGATGCACGATCCTCGCAGTAGATAGCGCTATTTAAGCAATAGCGAAAATCAGACCTGAAAAAAATCAGGCCTGTACGGGATTCGAACCACTGACCTCTGCGATACTAGTGCAGCGCTCTACCAATTGAGCTAACAAGCCAACTGGGAGCAGGCCGTTAAGTTGATTCGTAATAAACCCGTGAAAGTGATAAATGAGATACAATGAAATATATGAAGTTCATATATTTTGTACTGCGGTATTAGATACATATGATGCACGATCCTCGCAGTAGATAGCGCTATTTAAGCAATAGCGAAAATCAGACCTGAAAAAAATCAGGCCTGTACGGGATTCGAACCACTGACCTCTGCGATACTAGTGCAGCGCTCTACCAATTGAGCTAACAAGCCAACTGGGAGCAGGCCGTTAAGTTGATTCGTAATAAACCCGTGAAAGTGATAAATGAGATACAATGAAATATATGAAGTTCATATATTTTGTACTGCGGTATTAGATACATATGATGCACGATCCTCGCAGTAGATAGCGCTATTTAAGCAATAGCGAAAATCAGACCTGAAAAAAATCAGGCCTGTACGGGATTCGAACCACTGACCTCTGCGATACTAGTGCAGCGCTCTACCAATTGAGCTAACAAGCCAACTGGGAGCAGGCCGTTAAGTTGATTCGTAATAAACCCGTGAAAGTGATAAATGAGATACAATGAAATATATGAAGTTCATATATTTTGTACTGCGGTATTAGATACATATGATGCACGATCCTCGCAGTAGATAGCGCTATTTAAGCAATAGCGAAAATCAGACCTGAAAAAAATCAGGCCTGTACGGGATTCGAACCACTGACCTCTGCGATACTAGTGCAGCGCTCTACCAATTGAGCTAACAAGCCAACTGGGAGCAGGCCGTTAAGTTGATTCGTAATAAACCCGTGAAAGTGATAAATGAGATACAATGAAATATATGAAGTTCATATATTTTGTACTGCGGTATTAGATACATATGATGCACGATCCTCGCAGTAGATAGCGCTATTTAAGCAATAGCGAAAATCAGACCTGAAAAAAATCAGGCCTGTACGGGATTCGAACCACTGACCTCTGCGATACTAGTGCAGCGCTCTACCAATTGAGCTAACAAGCCAACTGGGAGCAGGCCGTTAAGTTGATTCGTAATAAACCCGTGAAAGTGATAAATGAGATACAATGAAATATATGAAGTTCATATATTTTGTACTGCGGTATTAGATACATATGATGCACGATCCTCGCAGTAGATAGCGCTATTTAAGCAATAGCGAAAATCAGACCTGAAAAAAATCAGGCCTGTACGGGATTCGAACCACTGACCTCTGCGATACTAGTGCAGCGCTCTACCAATTGAGCTAACAAGCCAACTGGGAGCAGGCCGTTAAGTTGATTCGTAATAAACCCGTGAAAGTGATAAATGAGAGACAATGAAATATATGAAGTTCATATATTTTGTACTGCGGTATTAGATACATATGATGCACGATCCTCGCAGTAGATAGCGCTATTTAAGCAATAGCGAAAATCAGACCTGAAAAAAATCAGGCCTGTACGGGATTCGAACCACTGACCTCTGCGATACTAGTGCAGCGCTCTACCAATTGAGCTAACAAGCCAACTGGGAGCAGGCCGTTAAGTTGATTCGTAATAAACCCGTGAAAGTGATAAATGAGATACAATGAAATATATGAAGTTCATATATTTTGTACT